CTCTGCATTACGCTGGTTAAGATCATTAAAGAATCCAGAGGGACAACTAGCGCGTTGGATTGGAAAGATAGACCAGTATAATTATGATATGAAATACAGAGAAGGAAAATCTCATGGAAATGCTGACGGACTGATCCGAAGATCCTGCAAAAATGACTGCAGACATTGCTGCAAAAGAGAGGTTGAACTAACCAGGTGCCATCAAGCTGAAGTCAAAGTGACTGAAGGAGTTGATGATGGTGAAGTGGAACCAAGTATAGATATTAAAGCAGAACAGGAGAAAGACCAGGATTTGAACCCAATAATTGATTTTCTACAAGCAAGTGTTTTGCGCCCTGCTTGGGAGAAGGTGTCTTGGTTAAGCCCAGTGACAAAGAACTATTGGGCACAATGAGACCAGTTGAAGGTTGTCCGGAGATGGGAAACTGCAGGTGGGAACGTGATGACCTGGCAAACAGTTATACCAAGAAAGTTATGGGAAGTTGTGCTGAGTCACTCCCATGATAGTTTAACAGGAGGACATCTTGGAGTTAAGAACACATTGAGTCACCTACAGCAGACATTTTACTGTATAGGTATGAGGCAAGATGTGGAAGAATGGTGCGGGACCTGCAGTACATGTTGTGCTAAAAGGGGACCCAAGCATAAGGGACATGCTCCAATGAAGTTATATCAAGTTGGTGCACCAATGGAAAGAGTAGCCATTGACATTGCCGGTCCTTTGCCCCAAGCTCATGCTCGAAACAAGTATATTTGTGTGGTGATGGATTACTTAACCAAGTGGCCTGAGGCATATGCAATACCACATCAGGAAGCTACAACTGTAGCTTTGGCTATTAGTGATTTCTTCTTCATGTTTGGTATGCCATATAACCTATATTCAGATCAAGGATGTAACTTTGAATCTGCTATGTTCTATGAATGCTGCAAGTTGTTTGGCATACGAAAGACCAGGACAATGCCACTTCACCCACAGTCTGATGGAATGGTAGAAAAGTACAATTGGACACTGGGACAGGAATTGGCAAAGTTTTGTAATAGCCGCCAAAATGACTGGGATGTCTTACTTCCTCCACGATTGATGGTCTATAGAACAGCG